GCAGTAAATTTTATAGTGTTGTTATGTTTCACCATACTACTTGCTTTGTTTCTTAAATTTATTTACTTATTTTTTCCAAGACAGGGTTTCTCTGTGGCTTGGGGGCTGTCCTGGAACTAGCTCTTGTAGACCAGACTGGTCTAGAACTCACAGAGATCCATCTGCCTATGCCTCCTGAGTGCTGGGATTAAAGGTGTGTACCACTACCACCTGGCTCCAATGGCCTCTTTTGACTTCCATGGGCACCAGACAAGTGGTGCACAGGCATTTATGTCATAGTCCTAACAACATATATTTATGGGCTAGTAATGTATCTCAGTGAGGTAGAGTGCTTACCCTAGTATGTATAAAGCCTTGCTTTGATTCTCAGTACATGTGTGTGGTGACACATAACCAAAATCCCAGCACTTAGTATGCTGAGGCAGAAAGATTGCCACAGCTTTGAGGCTGGTCTGGGCTGCATAGAGAGAACAGTAATAGCCAAAAATGAGCAGTAATAGCACAAATTGATACTTTGCATTCATCAATGCTGTGTCAAGGATTGCTTTCTATACTGTTTTTTTTTTTTGTTTTGTTTTGTTTTGGTTTTTTTTGTTGTTGTTGTTGTTTTGTTTTTTTTTTTTTTTTTTTTTTCCCCAGACAGGGTTTTTCTATGGCTTTGGAGGCTGTCCTGGAACTAGCTCTTGTAGACCAGGCTGGCCTCGAACTCACAGAGATCCGCCTGCCTCTGCCTCCCGAGTGCTGGGATTATGGGCGTGCGCCACCAACGCCCTGCCTTTGTTTTTGTTTTCAATCCCTGGCAATGTATTAAAAATGTGTCAACCCTTTTGGTGGGGGAGGGTAGTGTTCGGCTTTAAGCTACAGTCTAGCACATGCCTTGTATACCTGTGCACTTTTTTTTAACCGTTTATTTTCATATTTGTGTGTGTAAATGGATGCACATGTGGGTGCGGGGAGATTAGAGGACAGCTTGTCTTGGTGTGTGGGTTGTTGGTTCTCTCCTACCACATGGGTTCTAGAAATTGTCACTTTTGGTGTCAAATCCCTTTACTTACTGAACCACGTGGCTGGCCTTCTTTTCCTTTATCCTCCCCTGTTTCTTTCCCTGTGTCCTTCTTTGGAGACAAGGTGTCATGTATTCTAGGCTGGCCTCACATTTGCTGTGCTGCTGAGGATGATCTTCAGTTTCTGATCCTCTTCTTCCCATCTCCCTAGTTTTGAGATCATGCCCAGCCAGGATTTCATGCCTTTTAGGTACTCTTACCAACTGACTGATTCTGTACTTTCTCATTAGCACTAATGTTCAATTAGTTAGCTTCCTATAGATTTTCTTCAGCATTCTGTGCTGCTTTGCTCTATTTTAATAGTTACATTAGGAGCCGTGTCTCTTACTCGGAATATTCCCCCTCCCTTCCCCTTGCTTTTCTTCTTCTTTTTTTTTTTTTTTGGTTTTTCGAGACAGGGTTTCTCTGTGGCTTTGGAGGCTGTCCTGGAACTCGCTCTGTAGACCAGGCTGGCCTCGAACTCACAGAGATCCGCCTGCCTCTGCCTCCCGAGTCCCCTTGCTTTTTGAGACAGGGTTTCTTTTACTGCCCTGGGACTTGCTATGTAGATTCAAACTCAGAGAGGTTCCTGCCTCTGTCTCCCTGGTCCTGTTATTAAAGGTATGCCTAACTTTGCTTGGCCATCTAGTTTGTGTTAAGGCATTAATAATGCTTTGTAGATCCAAAGGAGTATCAGGAAAACCACAGCGAGAACTCCTGAGTCGTGCTGACCTGTTAGAAAGTTATAGAAGAACAGCTTTGCAGTTATCATCACTAAAGTTGCAGTGCCAAAATGTCACACTTCAGGGGTTTGTGTGAGAGCCTCAGCCTCTGGTTGTTGCACTCTTCTTGGATAACATACTGTTTTTCATGTTTTAGAAATTGTTTCCATAATTAGTCTGGCAGCAGAACTGAGTAAATTCTAAAACAAGACTTTGTAGCTGGGCAGTGGTGGCACATGTCTTGAATCCCAGCACTCAGGAGGCAGAGGCAGGCAGCTCTCTTAGTTTGATGCAAGCGTGGTTTACAGAGTGAGTTCCAGGACAGCCAGGACTGTTACATAGAGAAATAACAAAAAGTAAAAAACAAAATCACAATAAAGCTTTGTGATCAAAGGTTTGTAGGTATTTGTTGTTAAGCAATGGGTAATGATGCAGTGTCTGCTTAGGTAACTTCATTTACTCTGAGAAAAGTGCTGCTGGTGTCTTAGGTAGCATGCCCAAAGGATCTGGGATTGACCCCAGCACCACCACTACCCCCCCTTTTTAAAACAAAACAACCCCAAAAAGATAAATTACAGAAACAGTCAAGTTTATGTTATCAAAATAACATAACAATTGTAATAAAATGAGACTTGCATGTCTAGTGACATGCCCAGAACTACTGCCACAAGTCAGGGACAGAGCAGGATCAGTACACCTTTGATCCAGAGGCTATGCCTTTCTAGGACTGTTGTCCATGTTTCCTAATGTTTCAGAGTCACACACTTGAGATTTTTAAGTTAGGATGTGGGAGTAGTGGAAGGTTTGGATTGTGAAATAATTGTATGTTTAAATTAAACCACAAAACTCTAAAGAGTAATTGTTAACTTGTTAGAAAATTGAGTTTTGAAAAGTCCTTGTTTTTAACTTTTAATTTTCTTTTTATCTTTAGTTACTTGCAGATAAAGACCCTACTCTAGACCATGTAGAATGCTTCTTTATAATGGGATTCATCATGGTGATGGTATTTTCTTGAGCTGATTTAGTCAATTCTTCATACATTAATAGTGTTTTTTTCTCTAGAGTGAGAAAAGATCCATTTTTTCCCTCTGAATTATAATATGGGGGTGATGTGGACAGATAGAAGGACAGGTATAAAAATGAATAATTATTAGTATTTTACTAACCAGAGAATTGGGACAGTTGCAAGAAAAGCAGTTTTCTAATTTGTTACCTTCTCTTTCCTTTTCAAAAGCTTGACTCTTAATTAGATCCATTAGTCCTGCAACATATTATCATTGTTTATTTATTTTATATATAAGAAGTGGATGCTATGTAGTTGTTTTTGAAAGCAGTGATGATTTACAAGATGTTTTGCTTGAAAATCTTAATGGGAGAAAGGAAGTCTGAAGGTAATACTGTGACTGCTCAAATCTTAACCGGAGAAAGGAAGTCTGAAGGTAATACTGTGACTGCTCAAATTGGTTGGTAAAACGTAGTGCCTCCAGTTTTTTAGCATTCACTCTTGTACATAATAGACAAAGTATTTTTGCTTTACTAAAATACACATTTCCTCCTCCACCACAAATTCAGAGTTCTAATTTCCTAAGATACAGTAGGAAGGTTCTTGTGTGCATGTATCATTAATAATTATCTTTTGAACGAAAAAATGAGATACTGTCATCTCAGAAAAAAGGTGAAACCATTAGGATGCTTTTAGAATGCATAAAAATCATGTTTTTCCATCCTTTGCTTTTACTCAAATATGAGTGATGAAAACTTAAAACGAGTTATATACTGTTTCTATGTTAAAATATTTATTATAAAAAAAGTAAAGTTGATTGATGGTTTTTATTTGAGGTGAAAAGAAGACACTTAAAGACCTTAAACAATAGTCATTCTTGCAGTTCTATCCATTCAGAAGGTGCTCAAAAAACCAACAATTTCACTACTGAATTTTTTGTTAAGCTTTCTTTCATAAAAGTAGGCATGTTACTTACATAAAAATATGGAATTCAAATTTTAAAAACTTGCACATTGGGGTTTAGTTTTTTTTATTTTTTATTTGGTTTCTCTGTGGCTTTGGAGGCTGTCCTGGAACTTGCTCTGTAGACCAGGATGGCCTCGAACTCACAGAGATCCACCTACCTCTGTCCCCCGAGTGCTGGGATTAAAGGCGTGTGCCACCAACGCCCGGCAGAGTTTGGTTTTAAATTGAGAAAACTGGTAAATTATGAGCGTTTAGTATGTAAACCAATAAAATAACAAGAAAAACGTAAGATGGTAAATGGAGAGAGCTCATTTACAGGCAGGTAGAACCTTTAGAAGAGAATGCTAATATGAATCACATTGGGTGTTTTTCTGAATTAAGATTACCATGGCTCTTGAGGATGGGCTGTCACAAGGTCTTGAAAAATACTTTGAGAAGCATTAAGTCCAAAATAAGTAGATTAGATAAGTTTAAAGTAGGTTTGGTTTAGTCAGAAGATGGTTGCCATTGAAGTAAATGAAGCAGAAAAATAAGGGCATTAGAATGAAGCAGAAGATAAATTGAAGGCATTAGCAGATACTAATAGTGAATTTAGGCTTTTTACCATGGAAAGGAATGCTATGCCTAGAGTGTTTATCATTGTGGTGGATGGTATAGTAATTTACTTAATCAAATATCTAAAGTTGTTATAATTAATTCATGAGAGCTTAGGTCCTAAATGGCTTTTACTAAACCATACATTTTGTTGTGACTGACCAGAGATAGTGTAGAGACAGTATATCTTAGCAATCAACTGCAGATGGATAGCATACACTGTATTGGCCAATGAAATAATTTGTCTATAATAAATAAGGTCAGCAAGTAATTGTGCTCTTGTTCAAATTGGTACTATTTTATTAAAAATATTGAAGATATGTTTATTTAGATTTTTTTTAGGTTTTAGAAAAGCTTGAACTTGTTTTACTAAAGTAGATAATCACATGAAAAATGAGTTTTTTGGGCTGGAGAGATGGCTCAGAGGTTAAGAGCACTGACTGCTCTTCCAGAGGTCATGAGTTCAATTCCCAGCAACCACATGGTGGCTCACAACCATCTACAATTTAATCTGGTGCTCTCTTCTGGCATGTAGGCAGAACACTGTATATGTAATAAATAAATAATCTTAAAAAAAAAGAAAAATGAGTTTTTTATTTTTTTAATAGGTAATATTTTAAAATAGGCTTTCTTGTTGATATAACTAACATTTATTTTCTGTTTATTTTTAAGACGAGCAAAAATCAAATTAAAGTAGATCTTGTAGATGAGAATTTCACAGAATTAAGAGGAGAAATAGCAGGACCTCCAGACACACCATATGAAGGCAAGTACTTTTTTCTGTATCAAAATATTGTGTGTGTTAGAACTTGTCTGAAAGATTGAGTCATTAATCTTGAGCATCTATCTATAAAATTCATGGAAGGCAATCTTATTTGGTTTAGGGTATACTGCAGTTTATAAAATGATCAATTTTGACACTTAACTGATTTTCATACTGAGTTATAGCTAATTATAATTTTTTTTCAAATACATTTCATAGAGCCAGGTTACAGGTTATGTAGGCTAGAATTTAACATGTCTTATTCTGCTATGCCATAAAGCATAAAACTTCTTTCTTTACCTTGTTCTCAATTCTGTTGTGTAAAGTAGCCACACATTTTATAGCATGATAGGATTAAATATAGAATGTTACTCAGACACCCTCAATATGATTAATAACAAACCTTGTCTTACCATTTTGAGTAATAAGATAATGGTTTTGCTTTTTAAGCTCCCCCTCCCTATCATTTCATGTTGCATTTGGTCACTTAGTTATATAGGTTTTTGGATACTTAAAAAATAGCTTTGCTGCTTTCCATGTTCATAATTATGACTTTTAGCTCTTTACCTGGAATTAAGTATATGATAAAGGAAGAAACTCTAGTATTTGGATTTCTTAGACAAATCATCATTAATGAGTATTATTGCAAATTTGGGTCATGTAGGATAAACATGGCTTTTGCATATTTGTATAATAAAAAGCATATGACCTTATGTGGTAGCTCTTCCTTGTATCCATTCAGTTTTCACCTAATCATACAAGGTAAGTATAATCCTGTTTAATAGACAAATTTGAGTTTAGAGATAAGTCATTTGTCTAAGGTCAAACAGCTGGAATTTAGCTTGCCTTTGACTTCAAAGCCTATGCTTTTAAATAACTTTCTGCTTTTGATGAAATCAGGATTCACCAAGTATTAATATGGTTGCTTATGGCTTCTTTAAATGTGCTCTTAGTTCAGAAAATCCCAATATTCTTGGCAAAGTTTGTTTTCATTCAAGACCTTAAAAGATCCTAGGCGGTCATTAGAGTATCAATATAAATTCTTTCTCTTTTGATACAGGGCTTTTCTTTGTAGCTTCAGACTCTCAGCAGTTCTCTTGCTTCAGTTTGCAAAGTGTTGGGATTATAATTTGGGTTTCATCTCTCTTACCACCTGCTCTCTCCCTGCTCCTGTCTGATCTGTTGAGACAGGTTCTCCTGTGATCTAAGCTGTCCTCAGACTGGCAGCTGTGGTTGAGGCTAGTTCTGTGCTGCTCCTCCTCCTGCTTCTATTTTCCAGCTGCTGGGTTTACAGGTACAGGTCATATGCCTGGGGTACCAATTTTGAAGTGCAAAAAAAATTTGATACTGCTAAATATCCTATACCTACCAGTATGTCTGGCTTGTTGTCCATGTTCTCTCCTAACCTACAACTTCTTCCCCCACCTCCACCCCCCAAGACAGTGTCTCACTATGTAGCTCTGTCAGGACTTGAACTCATAGAGATCTGCCTGTCTCTGTCTCCCAACTGCTGGGATTTAAGGTGTATTCCACCACACCTGGCTGGTTTAGTTCTTTTGATATTGGAAGATTTTAATAATCTTATAAAAATCAAATGTCTTTTTTTTTTGTTGTTGTTGTTGTTTTTTTTTTCCCGAGACAGGGTTTCTCTGTGGCTTTGGAGGCTGTCCTGGAACTCCCTTGGTAGTCCAGGCTGGTCTCGAACTCACAGAGATCCACTTGCCTCTGCCTCCCGAGTGCTGGGATTAAAGGCGTGCGCCACCAACGCCCGGCCTCAAATGTCTTAGTAGCAAATATTGTTTTGATCTCCTATCTTCTTTTAATGGCAGGTATTATAATTTTTTATTTTTTTTCATTATTTCTTTGTGGTACTAAGGATGAAATTCAAAGCCTTGTGCGTGTTCCCAAGCAGTTATAAATTGAGTTACATCCCTAACCTCATAACTGTTCCTGAAGTGCTTTTTGAGATTGTTCAGATAGCTTTAAAATGCAAAAGATAGTATTTCTATTCTAGAGCTCTCTGGTAAACTTGGATACATAAGGGACCTCTTAAACTCAGTGGATAGAATTTTTTTTTTTTTACCTTTTTAGCCATGTTTCATAAGTAAATGAACTTTAAATTTTTCTTAATTAAAATAAAACATTCCATATTTGTCAGAAACAAGTTATTTAAAAGTTTATTTCTGCAGCTGCTTCAAAATAAGACAGTATTTTTATTAGTTTCCCTGTGATTTGGGGGCATGTGCTTGACAGTAGATTGTTTTAAGATCTTTTTAGTCATAAAACTCTTATAGTAATATTTGAAAAAAAGTACCATTTAAGTCAAACTTTTCCTATTGAATATTATAAACACAGGTGAAAGATTGGTTTACTGTGGAAGGCTTGCTGTTTTGTTTTTGAGGTATGGGAGTTTTTGTTGTTTGTTTGCCTTTTTTTTTTTTTTTTTTTTTTTTTTTGAGCTGAGATAGGCATTCTGAGCCTAGAATTCAGGGCCGTGTCCTTGCTGGCAAGCTCTAACTCTGAGCTGTGTCTCCACAGCCTGCTTTTGTTTTTGGCCTAACTTAAAGCTAAAGTAAAAGTTTGCTTGTAAAATAAGTCATCTGTATTATCATTAAAAGGCAATTTTATGTAGTATTAAAAATAACCAGATTGTCAAGGAGAATAAACATGAAATATTCCCATATTGCATTTCACTCACTCACTCAGTTTTCTTAACTTCCTTTTCCTAAATAACTTAGTAGTAAAGAACTAATTTAGTTCTTTTTGTGTAAAAATTCTTTCAATTTGTTGCATTTAAATGAGCAGTTCAGTAATTCTCATCCACTTCCTTTCTTCTCTTTGGAGGAAGTTAAAGTTCACAATTGTTTCTCTGGACATAGTGGGCCAAGGCTTGTATCCCTAGCATTTGGTAAGCTGAGGATTTCTCTGAATTCAGGGCCACCCTAGGATCCTTGAGTCCCAGATTATTACTAGGCTACAGAGGATGTGTTTTAGCTTCACCCCCACCCCACAGGAGAAAGGAAAAGTTGCTAAACATTTGATATTTGGAAACTATTTCTAAAGTTGTGTGTAGTGGCATATCTCTAGAGCTATTTAGGAGGGTGAGAGGAAGAGTTACTTGAGCCTAAGAGTTCAAAGCTGGCATAGGTAACATATCAAGACCTGTTCTCTAAAATAAAGCACCATAAAACATAAATAGAATAAAAATTAAATCCTTCAGAGGTAAAATAAATTATATTGAAGCTTGTTGTGTATAATAATAAAAGCCCCATATTGAGTGGTGGAGCTACTTGTATGACTGTGGGCCCTTGAGATTGCAGTACCCAGCAACAGTTAGTTGCTTTAATGGGCTATGATGTTTGCACACGTGAGATCACTTAATGATGCACTTCTCACATGCCTTGTCAAGTGGAAATTATTGTATGCCATGACCAATCTTACAGTGGTTTTGTATACAAGTTGTTGTATAATGGAAGACAAACAGTGTAACATGGAGTAGCAATAAGATTTTGAGAACTCCACAATCTTAACAGTATTTATATAATATTTCTGGGCTCTTAAACTACTCCTAAAAATCATTTTAAGCATTTAAGAAGGAAGAGCTTGGTGACAGATTAGATTTTATGAAGATGACACACGGGAATTTAGTCAGACAAAGAGACTCTTCAGGGAGAAGAAGGGCCTGTGTAGGCACAACACTGTGTGTGCTGCAGCCACTTCCTCATGTCATTCTAGTCTCCTTTTAGTAAACTGCTCAAAAAGAAAGGGGAGTCCACAGTATTCAAGCTAATTTCATTGCACCTGTATTTGGAATTGTTATTTATAATTCTTAATATAAACGGTTATCTCCGGATTTGCAGGGTTCTTTTCAGTACCCTTCTGTTGCCTGTTTCACTTTTACCATATGTTTTTGATTTATATTTCATGTTTAATTCATATATCATCTAATAGAGGGGACTCTACCAAAAAGAATATAAGACAAAAGACAAAAAGAGCTGGAGTAAGAAAGCTTTTGAAGATTGAGCATGATATTGCATTTCCGTAAGCCCAGCATTTACAAAGCTGAGGCAGGAGAATTTCAGGTTAAGGCTAGCCCATACTAGTCTTGAACTTTCTATGAAGTCTTGGTTGGCCTTTCCTTTTTCTTTTCCCCTTTCTTTCTTTTCCTTTGCTTCACCCCTCACCCTCCCATAGGGTTTCTCTGTATAGCATTGGTTTCTCTGGAACTCACTCTGTAGACCATAGTGGCTTCAAACTACAGAGATTCCTCCTGCCTCTGCCTCAAGAGTGCTGGGATTAAAGGAGTGTGCCATCAACTCTCTAAGGTGATATTTTGTTTATGATCTAACAAATAAAGCTTGCTTGAAGATCAGAGTGCAAAGCTAGCCACACTACTTATCTATAGAGGCCAGGCAGTGTTGGCACATACCTTTAATCTCAGCACTCAGGAGACAGAGGAAGACAAATCTCTGTTCATTTAAGGCCACCCTGAGCTACATGAAATTGATCCAGTCTAACAGAGAAACAGCATTGGCAGAGGTGAGAACTCTCTAGTGGCTGGTCACTTTGCCTCTCTGATCTTCAGCTTTAACCCCAATATCTGTCTCTGGGTTTTTATTATTAAGACCAACTAGAATTTGTGCTATAACTCTGGTGGTACTCTTCTTTCAATACTGTCCAAGTGCTGGGATTACAGGTATTTGGTCATAAATGGAAAGATCAAGGCTTTGGAGAGAACTAGCTAAGAGAGCCTTTTCCTGTTGTTAATGATGTATCCCTTTATCTTTATACTGTCTATCCTTTAAATCCTTGCCTTTTTTTTAACCTTCTGTTTCCTGTCTAATATCTTTTACCAGGTGAACTAGATAAAACAAGATCTCTGAACCTTATGCTACTAATTAGTAATGAAATATTTGACATTGGTTTGTCTATAAGAGTTAATGTGTCTCTAGTTCTGTTACTGTTAATTAGTATAATTACAGTGGGAATTTTATATGCTCTAAGTATTCTTATAAAATCATGACTTTGGTTATTTTGGGATTTTAATTTTCTCAGTACAAAATAATAAATATTTTGAAACAGTCTTTCAGTGTATTTGGTTTTATGTATTTGAGTTGATCAGCATTCTCAAGTTTTTTCCCTTTTTTTAAAAATTTTAGGTGGAAGATATCAACTAGAGATAAAAATACCAGAAACATACCCATTTAATCCCCCTAAGGTATTGTAACCCTGTCTTTGTGCATGGAGTTTTAAAAATATTTTGTTATTTCTTGACTCACCTTACTAATATGAATATCAATACATTTTATTACTTATTAAAATTACAACTTGCTGTGTTAAGTGTGAATAAATCTAATGGACATAATTTCAGGCTTTGGTCAATGGCTTGCTTCTGAAGTTAGAATGAAAAGCAAAGTTTACTAATAGTAACCATTGATTGCTGTATATTGGAGTACAATTTGTATCTCATAATGGCCCAAATACTAGCTTTAGTTAATTAGCTGTATTATTGATTTAGAGAGAGGTTCTTACTTGTTTTAAATAAATGTTATTTAAAGAAGTATATGTTCTATACTCATTTAGAAATTGAAGATCAAGGATTAGCTAGCTCATTGGTATGTAGTAGGCCTTGGGTTTTATTTGAATTACTGCCAAAAAGAAAAAACCCAAATAAACTACAACAGAAATCAAACAAAAGATGAGTAAAGTGTGCCAAGTAATTTATCAGTAAGACTTACACTATCTGCTTTTATGAAGTTCATGTTGTAGAAGGGAAAAGCCATTATTTTAAACGAGAATGCCGTTAATTTAGGATTGTATGTAACAAGGAAACCTAGCCTAAACTTAGATTTTTGACTAAGTCAGCTTCTTTATACCTTTACACTTATAACCATTGTTTAGTTTAGTAGTTTTATTACTTCCTTGTTTTGCTTATTATACAATCAACTGTCCATCTTTGTCATTCTACTCATTCATTGTTCAGTAAATGTTTCTAATAAGCCAGGCGTTCGTGGCGCATGCCTTTAATCCCAGCACTTGGGAGGCAGAGGCAGGCGGATCTCTGTGAGTTTGAGGCCAGCCTGGTCTACAAAGTGAGTTCCAGGACGGCTTCCAAAGCCACAGAGAAACCCTGTCTCGAAAAACCAAAAAAAAAAAAAAAAAAAAATTGTTTCTAATAAAGAGTGCTGCTACTATCTTTCTTTGCTAACAGTGTCTAAACTCCTTATCCTGTCACTTACAGCTTCCCACAACTGGATCTCAGTTTTCTTTTCCATCTTAGTTTTTTTATCCTTTCCATCTATATGTGAGTCTCATTTTCCAGCCTAGATTATTTGCATTTATAGATAGATGCTTATTCTTGTGTGCCTTCTCTTGTTTTCACTTTAGTCTTTAATCTATATTATTTGAAACTGTAGTTTTCTTTTGAGCTGAGTAAAGTAATATATCTTTGTAAACTGTGCCAAACAAATACTTCTTTTTCAGCTTTCACTTTAAAAAAAGTAATAGATTTAGGGGACTGGAGAGATGGCTCAGTGGCTAAGAGCACTGGCTGTTCTTCCAGAGGTCCTGAGTTCAGTTCCCAGCAACCACATGGTGGCTCACAACCATCTGTAATGAGATCTGGCGTCCTCTTCTGGCCTGCTGACATATATGCAGACAGAACATTGCATGCATAATCAATCAATCAATGAATCTTTAAGGAAATTAATAGATTTATCTACATTCATCCATTCATTAATTCATTCATGCAAGATCTCACCATGGCTGGTCTTGAAATCAGGGATCTGCCTCCTGAGTGCTGGGTTTAAAGGCATGTACCACCACATCCAGCTAAGAAGTTAATAGATTATTTTTATTTTTAATTGTATATCTCTGTGTATTATGTGCATGGAAGTGCAGACACCTAAGGAGTCCAGAAGAGGACTGACTTACTGCAGTCTCCTGGAGCTAGCGTTTTATAGGTGGTTATGAGCTGCCTGACGATATTGGCAACAAAACATGGGTTCTTTACGAGAGTATCAAGCAATCTTTTACTTTTTAAAAAATGTGTATGAGTGTTTGGCTTGCATAAATGTCTGTTCACTGTGTAATGCAGTGCGCATAGACCAGAAGAGGGCGTCCCCTGGTATTGGATTTACAGATAATTGTAAGCTGCCATGTGGTCGCTGGGAATCAAACCTTGGTTCACGGGAAAAACAGCCAGTGCTTTTAATTCCCAACCCGTCTTGACAGCCCTCCATTATAACCTCTGGGCCAACTCTACACCCTTGCCTCCCCACTATTTTTGAGACAGTGTCTCACTGTACAGCTCTGACTTGCTTGGAACTCCAGACTGGCTTCAGCTCCCAGAAATCCAACTACCTTTGCCTCCCAAAGGCTGGATTTAATGGTCTATAGCAGCTTTCTTGGACTGTATTTTTGTTCTTAAAGAATTCATTTGTATATGTGTGAATGTGAATATGCTAAGTGTGTATGGGTGCTCATGGAGTCTAGAAGAAGGTATCCCTTACAGCTGGAATCTGGATATGAGCAGTTCTGAGACATAGTAAGCTGCCATTTGTAGGTGCTAAGAACTGAACTTGGGTCCTGGAAGAGTAAGAAATGCTCTTAAATAATGAGGTGTCCCCCATCTTATTAGTACTTTATAAAATTTATATAATGTTGACATAAGTACTAATTCATGTATTATTTATTTGTCTTTCAGTGGCATTATTACTCCTATGTTTTATCTATAGCTTTTGTTAGTGTGGTGTCCTTGATTTAATGTCATAGCAGCTGAAATGTCCTGGAATGCATCACTCAACGTTGATGGTTTCTGTTTAAAGATAGATAGGAACCTGTAACCTCAACATTGGAGATGGTTGTTGGAGGACTGAGTTTGAGGTCCTCTGGCGCTGTACCAGAGATCTAGAGAAAACAAAACCAAAAAAGAACACAGAACCAAAATACAAATCAAAAGGAATTAATATGGTAGTGAAAATTCCAGGTTGCATATTTTTCATTCACTGTTTTTCTGCTGCTGCTGTGGATTGAACTTGTAGCCTTGTGCACATTAGATAAACACTTTACCACATAGCTTCACCTGCAGTACTCCAGGATGAGTTTGGAGCATCTAACTCTGTTGTTTATGTACATCTGTTTTATGATATGCCTGACTTTCGAGGGGAAAGGGAGTTTGCTTTTCTTTTTGTAATTGTTGTAAATTATATGTAAAATAAAATTTACCAATTTAATTCTTTTGATTGAGACAGAGTAGCCCAGGCTGGTTATTACTGTTGATGACCCTGAACTGCTGATCCCCCCTGTGTACCTAGAATGCAGAAAGTCCTGTCTGCATTCTAGGTAAGCACTCTAGAGCTACATACCCAGTCCCCTGAGACATTTTTAGATGTATTATTCAGCAGTATGTATTCATATTTTGTGTACCCGTAAGCATCTACTTCAGAATTTTTCATCTTCCTAAAATGAAATGGGTGATCATTAAACAGTAATTCTGTAGTGCCCTACTTCCAGCGTAAAAAAAAAAAATCACTGTTTAGCTGGATGTGGTAGCACATACCTTTAATCCCAGCTGGAGGCGAGTACTGTATGAGTGTCTTTGTGTCATCTTGACTATTCTGGAACTCACTCTGTAGGTCAGACTTACCTAGCACTTGGGAGGCAGAGGCAGGCGAATCTCTATTGTGATCTAGGCTAACCTGGTCTACATTCTACATACCAAGTTACAGGATAGCTTAGAGCTACATAATAGAAGAGACCTTAAATAAGTTACTGCCTCCCCCCAGCAAAGAAAAACCATTGTTCTATTTTTTTTTTCCTGTGTCTTATCAGTTTGGCTCATTTGGGTTCACGGTATAAGACAAATAGTGTTTGTCCTTTGGTGTCTGCCCTTAGCATTTTGTTGTCTCTGTTCATCCATGTTGTAACATGTCAAATTTTCCTCCCTTTTTAATGTTTCATTCATTGTATGTACATACTCTACTTTGGTTATCCATTCACCTGGGTGGACTTTAAAAAAATTTATTTACATGCTGGGTGGTGGTAGTGCATGCCTTTGATCTCAGAACTGGGGAGGCAGAGGCAGGTGGATCTATATGAGTTTGAGACCAGCTTGGTCTACAGAGCTAGGGCTACACAGAGAAACTCTGTATCGAAAACAAAACCAAAAACAAAATTTTATTTACTTATTAACTGTGTACGCACAAACACTCTGCAAATGCAAGTGGGCCAATGTGCACACATTGATATTTGTTAAAGGACAAACAGAGTTGTTTCTCCTCTTAACCATAATGGGGCCCCAGGGATCAAACTCAGGTTGTAAGACTTGGTTTGGTAACATGTGCCTTTTTTCTCTGAGCCATCTGGTCAGTTCGTGTGTTTTTTGTTTGTTTTGAAACAGTGTCCCACTGTGGAACCATTTCTGTCCTAGAACTCTAGAGTTGCCTACCTGTACTTTGTGAATTCTTAGAATAAAGGTATATGATACTATGCCAATGGGGTTTTGTTTTTGAGAAGAACTTTCCCTGTGTTGCCTGTGCTGGACTTGAACTCCTAGACTCAAATGGAAACGAAAAGAAACAGGCTTTATAGCCACTGCATTTTCAGTATTAGATAATGATGTCATTTGTGCTATGAGTTCATTTTTTGTAATGGCCTTTAGCTCTAACAAGTGAGAGAACTTGGGCTAAGAGGTTGGCTAGCATCCAGATTTTTGAGGATTTGGTAGTTTGAATGTTAGGCTATTGGATTGATTATCCTTCTGAGACTCTGGTTCGGAAGGAGTAAGAACAAAGTATTACCCTGTGTGCGCGCGCGTGCATGCGTGCGTGCGTGTGTGTGTGTGTGTGTGTGTGTGTGTGTGTGTGTGTGTGTGTGTGTGTGTGATTCAGACTCAGACTCAGGTCTTTACACTTATGCATCAGTTGCTTTTTCTCACTACCTCATGTCCTCAGCCTATTGGTTGCATTCTTTTTTATTTTTTGTTATGTTCTGGTTGAACATGGGGCTGTGCCTACTAGGCAAATGCTTTGCCCCAGGATTTCTTCTGGAGGTAATAAAAATAATTTAGAATTAGACTCTGTAGGGCTGGAGATACAGCTGTTTGAGCCTCCAGTTAGAATGGGAAATTTACTATTGGACTAGCCAATTTAACTGTTTAATATATGAAATAAAGAGTAATTGCTTTAAATTTTATGTGTATGTTTTTGTCTGCATATATATATGTGTATATATATATATGTATATGTATGTGAACCATATGCATGCAGTGCCCTTGGAAGTCAGAAGACTGTCTTGGATCTCCTGGAATTGGTATTAGAAGTAGTTGTATGGGGACTGGGGAGATAGCTCATTGGTTAAGAGCACTGGCTACTCTTTGAGAGGATCTGGGTTTGAGTCCCAGCACCCACATAACGACTCATAGTCATCTGCAACTCCAGTTCCATGGTATCCAATGCCTTCTTTTGGTCTTCTTGGACACCAGGTATACATGTGGTACACAGACATACATGTATACAAAAATCCTTATACATTAAAAAACAATAAATATCTGAGCCTTTGGCTTTCTTTAAATGCAGTTTATTTTTAAAAAAGAAGCAAACACCTGGATGCTTGGAATTGTGAAGCCCAGTTCTCTGGAAGAATAAACCACTGAGCTACTTCTCCAGTTCTGAAATTGAGTATTAAATACCAATACTAATTTTTTTAAAGATTTATTTTTATTTTATGTGCATTGGTATCATACCTGTTTGTGTTTGGGTGTCCAATCTTCTGGAATAACAGACAGTAGTGAACTACCATGTGGGTACTGGGACTTGAAGCTGGGTTTTCTGGAAGAGCAGCTAGTGTTCTTAACGAATGGGCCATCTTTCCAGCCCACCAATACCACAGGTCTGCTTGTTTTAAATAATATAGTTTTGTCTTTTAAGTGACGTATTTTCCATTATGAAGTAAATATAACATCCTTAAGTGTTTTTCATCAAAGTTAATGATGGGATTGTGAACTCGTCTAGAATGAAGGAGCTGTATATTTGTTGAATTAAAGAGTGAGGGAAATGGCCGGGCGTTGGTGGCGCACGCCTTTAATCCCAGCACTCGGGAGGCAGAGGCAGGCGGATCTCTGTGAGTTCGAGACCAGCCTGGTCTACAAGAGCTAGTTCCAGGACAGTCTCCAAAGCCACAGAGAAACCCTGTTGTACATTTTTGTGCTAATATCTGTTACAAAGAAATGATTGCTGGACAGCTGAATGGTTCAGTTTAAAGCTCTTGTTGCTCTTCCAGAAGACCTGAGTTCAGTTCTTGGCCCACATATTAGGCATCTTACAGCTGTAACTCCAGCTCCAAGGGATCTGACACCATTTCTCACCCTTTCAGGGACCCATACAAATGTAGTTTGAATGTGTGCACATGTATGAGCACACACATGTAAGCACAGAAATAAAAATAAATTAATTTTTCAAGTTAGGTTTTCTTTATGTAGCTTTGGAGTCTGTCCTGAGTTTTGTTTGTTTAAAGATTTATTTTTTTATGATACAGTGTTCTGCCTGCATGCCAGAAGAGGGCGCCAGATCAAATTATAGATAGTTGTGAGCCACCATGTAGTTGCAGGAATTGAACTCAAGACCTCTGGAAGAGCAGCCAGTGCTCTTAACTCTGAGCCATCTCTCCAGCCCCCTGAAATAAGTGGTTGGCCATGATGGTACACACAAAGGATCTCTGAGTTCGAGGCCAGCCTGGTCTGCAGAGCAAGTTCCAGGACAACTAGAGCTACACAGAGAGACTCTGTCTGGAAAAACAAATCAACAAACAAAAAGAAATGATTACTGTGTATAAGTCCTGTTATTTGACTTTGTATTTGAAAGAGCTCCTTGTTTATCCCTGTGATAGCAAATTTGCTGTAATATGCAGTGTCAGGTACTGTCAGACTCTGGAGATGTTACAGCAGGTAGGTGGAGACAGAACCTTTTATTAAAGATGGGACAAAGCAGAAATTATAGCTATGAATTCAATTATATGATACAGGGAGAAATAAAGGGTGCTGCCGGAACAGGTTAGGAAGAAGTGATAAATTATGGAAGCTAAAATATGACTTTAGCACAGGTAAAGAGTATATAGAAGAATGTTACTGAGAAAAGAAATGGCACACAAAAGTTCAGGCCAAAAAAACTAAACCCTTGACTATGATACTGAGGCAGAGAGTAGAATATGGGGTTTATGGAGACCTGAGCTGTGGCCTGAAGTCAGACTAATAATAGCATGATCTTAAACCAGATGAATGAACCAGGCCTGTCACAAATAGTCAAACCAGGAATGAACATTCTTTAGAGCTCTTGAGGGAAGGGAGGTATCATAGAATACAGTGAAGGTATTTGTTCTTATTTTGTTTTTATAGCGCCAGTTGGCATGCACTGTCTAGGCAAATCAGGCTGGCCTTCAGCTCTCACAGAGATCTGTCCTCTTCTGGTTCCCAGTGCTAGGATTAAAGATGGTGACTACCATGCTCACCTTGATTTTAGTTTTCTTAAACTCTAAGATTGTTTCTTATTAGTGTTTGACATATAGTAGTAGGCATTGGAGTATTTATCTAATAAGCATCTAACATATTTTTCAAAGAGTTATCTAATAAATTTTGAGAATAACTTGTATAGAAAATTAGGACCATTGTAAGCCATTAGTACATATGCATCTATTTTCTTTAAGCCTGTTTTTGTTGATTACCTCAATTTGGGTAGGTATCATTTGATGTTTTCGTTTTATTTTACATGCTGTCTTATTGGATTTTATAGTCTTATTTCTAATATCTAGCATAATACTAGGGTACAGTATAAATATCTGATAATTAGTTGTATTTGAATGTAGAATGTACATCAAAAGTTTTAAACATATGTCATTGACCTTTGGCCTACTGAAAGCTTTGCTCCTTGGAAAAGAATATCATAAAAGTATATCATTTCCCTTCGTGATACCATTTTCTTCTAGTTCTGTTTTACCTTTACATGTTGGCTTCTTTTGTTTTGTTTTTCTCTTATTTTTTAAAAACTCAAGTATGCTTTATATTCTAGGTCCGGTTTATCACTAAAATATGGCACCCTAATATTAGTTCCGTCACAGGCGCTATTTGTTTGGATATCCTGAAAGATCAATGGTAAGAGACTTCTGAATTTACTCTCTCTTCTCTGGCACATAGGAGAACCAAGACTAAGAATGTTAAGTGTGTTAATTCTCTAAAACATAAGTTACTTTAGGCAGTAGTTTATAAATTCTCTTAAGAAGATAATTGAAAGTATTTTCATTGATATCATGATAGCTATTTAAAAGTAATATCAGATACTAGTGTTACATTAAAAAAATCTTGGGTTTCGCCAGGCGTTGGTGGCGCACGCCTTTAATCCCAGCACTTGGGAGGCAGAGGCAGGCGGATCTCTGTGAGTTCGAGGCCAGCCTGGTCTACAAAGTGAGTTCCAGGACAGCCTCCAAAGCTACAGAGAAACCCTGTCTGGAAAAACCAAAAAAAAAAAAAAAAAAAAAAAAAATCTTGGGTTTCTTTTCTTGGTAAATTTCCTTCTTTGTTATCTAAAGAAGATATTTGTAATAGACTAAAATGTAAGTTGACATAGTCAATTTTCAAATGAAATATAGGCAAAAATAGCTCAGAGCTGTATTAATTGAGATTGAACAGAGTTAAGGCTCTGAGGTGTCACCGGTTCTTTTGTAAGTGTTATTTTCTTTTGCATAAGGCTTCTTCCACTTCATTTGCTTTTTCTTTTCTTTTCTTTTCTTTTCTTTTCTTTTTCTTTTTTTTTTTTTTACAAGACAGGGTTTCTCTTCGTGGCTTTGGAGGCTGTCCTGGAACTCACTATGTAGACCAGGCTGGCCTCGAACTTGTGGAGATCCGCCTGCCTCTGCCTCCTGGGGGCTGGGATTAAAGGCATGCGCCACCAACGCCTGGCTCTTTTTTTTCTTCCCAATTTTTGTATATTTTTGGTTTTGTAAGTATGTATGTATATGTGCATGAACTTACCACAGCACACTATGGAGGTCAGACAACAGCCTACAGACGTCTATGTAGTGCACTCTTTGTGCCCAAGGATTGAGCTCATCAAGTTAGCAGTCTTGGTGAGAAGCAGCAAGCACCTCTACTTACGGAACTACTTCATTGGTGCATATATTTTGTTTTGCTTTCCTTTAAAGGTTTTTCTGAGCCGGGCGGTGGTGGCGCACGCCTTTAATCCCAGCCCTTGGGAGGCAGAAGCGGGGAATCTCTGTGAGTTAGTGGGCAGCCTAGTCTATAGAGCGAGTTCCAGGACAACCTCCAAAACAACACAGAGAAATTCTGTCTCAAAAAACCAAAACAAAAACACTTTGTATGTGTGTACATGTGAGCACATAGAGCAGAAGACAACCTCCTGTATTTGGTACCTTTTTTAAAACATCAAACTTGACACCTTTTGTCATCAAGTGCCTCTACTCACTGAGCCATCTTGCCAAGCACATAAGAATTCCTTACACTCCAAGCTCATGTTGATGTCTATTTATCTGTTTGAATTATGTAATAAACATCTTAAGTGTGTTAAAAACAACCAACCAAAAAGTTCTGTTCCCAGAGTTGCTGTTGCAAACCTTTTTTAAATCTCAGCATCCAGGAGGCAGAGGCAGTCAGCAGGTCTTTGTTAGTTGGAAGCCAGTCTGGTCTACATAGCCAGTTTACTCCAGCCAGGGTACATAGTGAAATACTAACTTAAAGAAAAAAATTCTTTGGGGTTGGAGAGATGACTCAGTTAAAACACCCTGGCTGCTCTTCTAAGAGAGCTCAAGTTGGAATCCCTTGTTGTAGTGCCTTGCATTCAATGCCCTCTTCCATCTTAGGAGCATTAAGCTCACACATGGTACACAGACAAACATACCCATACACATAAGGTAACATAAAAAATCTTTTTTCTTCTTTCTGCAGTCTTCCTCATTTAAGCTCTTAGCAGTTGCACATCTGTTCAGTTATGATCTTGGATTTTCTTTTCCTTTTTTTCTTTTTTCTTTTTTTAAATTGAGATAGTCTCAATGTGTGGCATTGGCTAGCCTGGAACTTGGTCTGTAAACCATCCTGGCCTCGAACATACAGAGATCTACCTGTCTCTTTCAAGTGCTCATGTTAAAGGCATGCAACACCACACCTGGCTTATTCTTTTTCCTTTTTTTTTCCTCTGGTGTTGTGTACCCTGTCTACACAAATGTGTTGGTAAAATTTGTAGTCTTACAGGCAGCTTTCCTAGTCACTTTGAGTCACAGTTCATTTTACTTTTTGTCTGGATGATTGCAGTAGCTTGTCCCCTCTCAGTCTCTCACTCTGTTCTGTTCAGGCCATTTTTGGCAGTATCATTAAAGCAGTGTTAATTTGTACTGTCTGTCAGTCCGTATGTGTTTGTATATGTGTATGAGTGTGTGTGACATGGTGTACTTTGAGGAGTCAACTTTTCTCCTTTCACCATGTGGGTTTTGGGGGTTAAACGCAGGTTGCCAAGCTCTCTGCAGGCTCCATTTGTCCCTCCCTCCTTACCTTCTTTCTTTGGTTTTTGTTTTCCTTGCTTGATGATTGAACTGTGGGCCTCATGTCAGGCCAGTGCCCTACTGTTTGAAATTCATTGCTCTGTGTACATGGTGTGGACATGAGGGTTTCTCTGTGGCTTTTTGGGCTGTCCTGGAATTAGCTCTTGTGGACCAGGCTGGTCTCGAACTCACAGAGACCTGCCTGCCTCTGGCTCCCAGTGCTGGGATTAAAGGCGTGTGCCATCACTGCCTGATCAGAATTTTTTTAACGTACAAATTTGAATACTCTAGTTGCTGTCAATAGATAAATAAATCATAAGATAATTGACCTTTTATCAGTATGGTAGCTTTGTACATGTCACAGATTACATTTTTTTAAATCCAGTCTTCCATCAGTGGAAACTGCTTGCTCCTTCGGGCACTTGTGTATAATGCTGTGAGCCTGAGTGTATGAGTGACTGTTGATGTCTCTTCTTTTGTTTCGTTGGGTTTCTTTGCAGAAGTAGAATGTCTGGACCTCTATTTAATTTTTATTATATTAACTATTATTTTGAGGAACTTCCATACTGTTTCTTTTTTTCTTTATCGAGGCATAACAGGGCATAGTAACTTGTGTGAAGTTGAGACAGTCAGTTCAGTAAGTGGATCATTAACACAGTTGAGAGTTAAGTGCACACAATGCACATTTACTGCGTGTCTAGCAAGCCACATAACAATTTATAGTGCCAGATTAATGCTAACACTGTTTCTACTAATAGTGAATGAGAGTTAAATTTCTATGTATTTACTAGCAACTGCCCTTTTCTGTTGTTTTGATGGTAGGCATCTTTTTATTTATTTCTTCTTTATTTTTCCTTTTCTTTGTTCTTATTTGTTTGCTTTTTGGTTTTTTTGAGACAGCATTTCTCTGTGTAGTCCTGGCTGTTCTGGAACTCGATCTGTAGACCAGGCTGTCCTGGAATTTACAGAGATCCATTTCCTGCCTCCTGAATGCTGGGATTAAGTGTGTATGCCACCTCTTTCTGGCTGATATGAGATTTGTTTTTGAGACAGGATTTTTGTCTATAACAACACTAGCTATCCTGGCATTTGCTCTGTAGAGCAGGCTGGCTTCAAACTAAGAGAGATCCTCCTGCCTCTGCCTCTCAAGTGTTGGGATTAAAGGCGTGCTCCACCACCACTGCCCAGCAAGATTATTACATTTTTCTTTGCTATTCAAGATTGCTTGCTCCCTCCCTCCCTCCCTCCCTCCCTCCCTCCCTCCCTCCCCTCCCTCCCTCCCTCCCTCCCTCCCTCCCTCCCTCCCCTCCCTCCCTCCCTCCCTCCCTCCCTCCCTCCCTCCCTCCCTCCCCTCCCTCCCTTTTTTGTGTATAGCCCGAGCAGTCCTAGAATTCTCTCTGTATACCAGGGTGGCCTTTTGACTGCTGGGATTAAAGATGGATTGCCATCACCGCCACCACCCCACTAAACATATCTTCTTTTGCTTTCTCTCTCTCTTTTTTTCTGTGATTAAAGGTGTGTACCGCTACTGCCTGGCTCAAATGTATTTCCCTCCTTCCTTTTTTGTTTTTTTTTTTGTTTTTGTTTTGTTTTTTACGAGACAGGGTTTCTCTGTATTGTTTTGTAGGCTATTGGTCCAGCCCAGCCTCGAACTCACAGAGATCCGCCTACCTCTGCCTCCCGAGTGCTGGGATTAAAGGCATGCATCACCACCGCCCAACCCTTCCTTCCTTTTTAAAACATACATATTTATCATTTTAATTTTAAGTATATTGGTGTTTTGCCATGGGTGTCAGGTCCCCTGGAACTGGAGTTCCAGGCGGTGTGAGCTGCCATGTGGGAGCTGGGAACTGAACCTGAGTCCTTCGTAGGAGTAGTGAGTGTTTTTAACAGCTGAGCTCTTTCCAGCTCTAAACATAATTTTTTAAAAGATAAAATTTAGTTGCTGGAGAGAGGTCTCAGTAACCTCTCTTTTTATGTATTTGGCCTTTTGGTTGTATGTATGTGTGTACCTGATGCCTGTGGAGGCCATAGATGTTGAAACCTCTATACCTGTAATTATAGACAGATGTAAGCTGCCATGATGTCTGGGAACTGTACTTGTGTCTTCTAAAGAGCATCAAGGTCCTTAATCAATGAACCATCTCTTCAGCCACTGAAATTCCTCAAAAATTAAAATCAGAGTGATATACTCTTTCCATGTTTTTGTGGTAATAGACAGATATAAATATTTAAGAGCTAAGTGTGGTTATATGTGATTTAACTTTTCTTTATTTCAAAGCTTATTTATTATACATGTGTATGGTGTGGGTATGGTGCCTGTATGATGGTCATAGGATATCAGTATGGATTCTGGTCTCTCTTCGAACTTTCACCTGAGTTCTAGGGATGAACTTTGGTCTTGGTCACAAGTGTTTTTCCACTTAGCTGTCTCATCAGCCTCTGTGTGTGCTTATTGGTGGAAAATTCACTGTGATGCTCTTAGGAAATTGAACACCTAGGTCCAGAAAAAAAAGCAAGTCTTGTTTTGTTACCTAGGATATAGAGCTATGTAACTGTTTTAAAAGGTTTTGTTTTGTTTTAAGACAGGGTCTGTGTAGCTGAGGTTGTTCTGAAACTGTAGACCAAGCTGGCCTCTGCCTCTGCCTACAATGATCTTTAGAGTAAAGTCTAGTACTACCCAGCTGTGTTTTCAAAGCTTTTAAAAGAACTACTGTGTCTTAAATGCTAGTTCAGCAGGTCAGCCTGTTTATTGGTTCTTTTAGATCACTATTGGTTGTTGCTGTTGTTGTCTGAGACATGTTTCAGTGTAGCTCACAGCTCTTTAGGTAGTTGAGGATTCCCTGAAGTCTTGGTCTATAAGTGCTAGTGTGAGGTTTGCAGCACTGTGCTTGGCGGCTCAACTTCTTTTAATCAAGCATCAGGCCAGGTTTTCCTAATCGCTGTAGTTTCCCTTGAGATATAAATTGATCAATTAGAAATTTTTATTGTAATTGCTTCCCCTAACCCTCATAAATTACAGTCTTGCTTTATTGATTAGGCTGAGTTTGACCTCCTGCTTTCGTCTACCACGTGCTAGGATTATATGTTACCATAACTGGCTTCCTGAAAGGTCATTATAGAAAATGGTATATAGTGAACATTTTAATATGTGAAATAGAGACCTACATTGCACTTAACTTCAGCTGTTGCCAGTTAGCTTAAATTGTAAAGGAGAGTGTTTTTCAAATACTATCTTTTGTCATTTTCATTGAACAATCTTTTCAAACATTCCCAGCTTCTAATTGAGCAGGTGTGTTGTGAGGATGTTCGTTTAAGTTCCTAAGCCATCAGCTGAGCCTGAGTAATAACAGTCCTAAAGCAGGTGCTCTAGTCCTGGTGATGCTTCTAGTCAGGAGGGGGATTGCCATTTAACGAGGCTGACTGCTGTAACACATGGTGTTCCTAATCAGTTACGTTTTTTTTCCTGAACATTTAGGATTGCTTTGCGCATTATCTGTGGAAACTGCAAATAGTCACTGGTTTGCTTTGTTTTGTTTCGAGACATTCTCAGGGTGTAGCCTTGGCTGTTCTGGCACTTGCTGAGTAGATGAGACTAGTCACTTTTTTTTTTTTTTTAGGATTAAGAACTCAACCAGAAAAGACTGATCATTTGTGTAGTCAAAAATAGAGCATACCAAGGGCAGGGTTAGGGAATGTAGCTCAGTGGTATTGTGCCTTTTGCCTTCACAAGGCCCTAGGCTGACAGCCTAGTATCTCAGAAGACTGTACTACTTATACGTTTTAGTCTTGTACGTTCATTACATTTCAGTACTACTAAAGTAAATTTTAAACAATTGCTTCATAAAGACCAAGGTTGTAAATATATTTACAAGCATTGCGTAAGTGATAACATGTAATTTTATTACTAATTAGGTGTATGTCTTGGTGTGGTTATATGTAGTCTGTATGGGTGCCTAAGGAGGCCAGAAAACATTAGATCTCCTGGAACTAGAGTTACAGTCCATTGTGAGCCATCCAGCATGGGTGCTGGACCTAATCTCAGGTCGTCTGCCAAAGCAGTACACCCCAAGTGATGATACTTTAAACAAAAAGTTGTCCTATTTTGGAATGTAGCAGACTTACTGTGGGACTTGTAAAGGGTAATTTACTTGCTTGTTTTATTTAGCATGCCATTAAAGAGATGGCTGGAGAGGTGGCTCAGTGGTTAAAGGCATATCCTACTCTTTGAAGGACCCAAGTTGAATTCCCAATCCCCATGTTGGATGACATACAACTGTTTTTAGCTCCAGTTGGAGGGAATCAGCTGCTTCTGGCTTCTGTAAGCACCTGTACTTATATGCACATACATAAATACTCTTAAAATTCAAAACAATAAAACTTTCAAAAAATCCACAGGCTATATTGGTATTAATAACTTTAATTATCTCCTTATTAAGAAATATGATAAGGGCCTGGAGAGATTGCTTAGTGGGTAAGAGCATGTGTTCTTGCAGAGGACTTGGCTTTGGTTCCCAGCACCGGAACAGCAGTTGAAGATCATCTGTAACTCAGAGTTCTAGGAGGCCCAAAGCCCTCTTCTTACCTTCATGGGCATCAGGCACTCAGGTGCACATACATGCATATGCGGAGATGAAAGACTCATACACCTAAAATCTAAAATATTTTGTTTAAGAAGAGAATGAATTATAAATGGAGCCAGTAGATAAAGCTTACAAGGTAGTTATAAGTAACAAGGAGAAAAAGCGGGTCCGAATAGGATACAATGATTTAAATTATTTTAAAAATAGGCTCATTGTAAGAAAAAATTGGCAATTATACACATATTAGTTGACTCTAATTTCAATTAAAAAACATACACTTTAAGTCATTCAGCACCCCTTTTAAGTGGGATGTTTTCCTTTTTTGAAATTTAGGGCGGCAGCAATGACTCTACGCACGGTATTATTGTCATTGCAAGCACTGTTGGCAGCTGCAGAACCAGATGACCCCCAAGACGCAGTAGTAGCAAATCAGGTAAGAAGGGAGATTTTGAAAGACTTTCTTATACCTGTGTATATGGATTTTAATATCTGATGTCAACCGATGAACATTCTATATTGGGACTGAATTTGGAAATGGTTTCATTGGATACATGACAGATGCTGTTCCTAATGAAAGAATTCCACAGAGAGAACCTGTGCAGCTACCATTTAGAGTTTACAGCTAGCATTATCTCATGCACTTTGTCATCTGTGCACTTTTGTAACTCTTCCATACCTTCTTAGCTTCTTACTGGTGGTAATCGTAATAACCTCCCACCTCAGAAATGGAGCTGACAGTAGTGGCATTGCAAAGGTTTTCATGTGTGTTGAATGGAGAACTTTTCCCTTTTCGTTAATGCCTCTAAGGGTAAGGTAATGTACATTCACGCTGCCTGGTTTGTGCAGTCTCATTTTGTAGGAACAGAGTCATGTCCCTGTGTCTATTTTGATATCCAGTCACAGTGACAGTGTTGCACACTGTGGCTTGACAGGTTTAAAATACTAGAATCTATACTTTAGCCATAGTTTGTCAACCTCTAAAGTATTCTGATTTACTGAGTATTTTTGTTGTTAAACATCTTCTCTCAATTTATGTAATACTTGCCTCTTCTCTCCCTGTATTTAGAGTTGATTTTTAGTTACTATGATCTGCACCCCCCCTTCCTCTCTCTGGGTTTCTCTGTGTAATAGTCCACTGGCTGTCCTTGAACTCACAAAGATCCACTTGCTCTGCCTCCCTAGTGCACCACTGCCTGGCTATTGTTACTCACTTTTAATGAGAGTTATTGGGTCCTCCTGTTGTTCCCCTCCCATCTTGTATACTCCCTGTATGATCAAAGCACCCCGAGGAATTGCTTGTGTTTGATCTCTTCCCTGAACCCCAGCTCCTGCCTGTGTGGTGGTGTACTCGAATCCCAGCACTTGGGAGGCAGAGGCAGGCGGATCTCTGTGAGCTCAAGGCAAGCCTGGTCTACAGAGGAGTTCCAGGACAGCCTCCAAAGCAATACAGAGAAACCCTGTCTCGAAAAACAAAAACAAAAACAAACAAACAAAAAAAAAACCAACCCAAACCAGCTGTTACTCACTTAGGACCTAATATTTACTTTGCAGAGATTTTTCATGATCTAAGCTATTCTTGAACACTTTTTAACTCTTCCATGTTATTCGAGTTCATGAATATTTGAGATCATAATCATTTTAATTTTTATACTGTTTTCCTTGTTTCCCCTTTAGGGAAACATTTCCTATTAAATATTCTTACATTTTTTAAAAGTGCACTTGTGTGTGTGTGGGTGGGTGTTCACATGCTTGCTTGGTGTTTTAAGTGTGGGCACAGTTACCTCACAGTGTCCATGTTACCTGGGTTTCAGGCTTCAAACTCTTCTTGTATTTGTTTTTTGTTTTGTTTTGTTTCCTTTGAGATAGGGTTTCTTTGAGTAGACTGCTTTGTAGATAGGTTGGCCTCGAACTCACAGATCCACTTATTTCTGTCTGACTCCTGAGTGTTGGGATTTATGGTGTATGTCACCACTGCCAGGATTTTATCAAATTAACTTGTCAGGCTTATGCAGCTAGTGTCCTTTGCTGCTGAACCATCTTCCTGGTCCAAATTTCTTTATCCATATGTTCTTTAAAAAAGAAAAAAGACTTATTTTTAAAATTATGTATGTGCATCTCTGAGTATGAGCACTTGAATGCCAATAATTGTCGAGGTCTGAAGAAGGTATTCTCCCTCCCTCCCTCCCTCCCTCCCTCCCTCCCTCCCTCCCTCCCTCCCTCCCTCCCTCCCTCCCTCCCTCCCTCCCTCCCTCCCTTCTTAATTTGACCACCTGATGTTGGTGCTGGTAAGAGACACCTCTTCAGGCTTCTCTTTATGGCTTTAACTTAAATGCACATTTTGACAACTTTCTCTCTTCCTTCCCCTTGAAGATCTGCTTGTTCTTTTTATGCATGCTTCCTTAGTTTCATTGATGACTTAAAGTGCTTGGAATTAGGGCTTTTTGCAGTTTACACATGTGTGCTATTAATAATTTAGTGGCATAAGTCTGTTTTGAGAAGTTTAGCTTCTATTTTCCCATAGATTGAGATGTAAAATCAAAACTGACTTTTAACACCTAAAATAATTTTGCTTGTTTGGTCACAAAGTATTGCTTGGAGTACATTAAATATCTTTTTTGTTTGTTTGTTTGTTTTGTTTTTGTTTTTTTTTTTTTTTGAGACATGGTTTCTCTGTGTAGCCCTGGCTGTTCTGGAACTTACTCAGTAGACCATGCTGTCCTTGAACTCACAGAAATCTCCTGCCTCTGCCGCACTATATAGTGCCAGGACTAAAGGCATTAGTTACCACCATGCAGCAAATCCCAGCCCTCTATAAGTAGAGGATCTCTGTGCTTGAGGCAAGCCTGATCTAGATGTAGATAGTTCTTGGACAGCCTGGGTTATATAGTGAGAGCTTGTTTTAGCAAGAGAGTGAGAGGGAGGGAAGGAAAGAATGCCCTAGGACCAGAGAGATGGATGGCTCAGTGAATTAAGAGTTCTTGCTGTTCTTTCAAAGGACCAGAGATGATATCCCAGCACCGACACTGGGCTGCTCATCACTGCCCTCTTCTTGGCCTTCCTGGGCACTACCACACCAGTGCACGCATGTGTAAAATTTAAAAATATTTATAAAGACATAGTAAGTGGCCAGGAGGTGGCACACACCTGTAATCCCAGCACTTGGGAGACAGAGATAGGTGGATTTCTGTGAGTTTGAGTCTAGCCTAGTCCGCAACACAAGTTACAGGACAGGCAGGACTATTACACAAAGTATACAGTAACCCTATCTAGACAGAACAACAATAAACAAAAAGGAAATATTAAACGAATTGACAGTTTTTACAAATGAATTAACCTCATCTCTTTTAAATTCAAGTGACAAATCTTACTGTCTAAAAAGGACTCTTGAGTTTTAAATTTTCCTAAAGGGTGATACAAGTTAGGTTTTTTGAGTGTTGAGTTTACTTTGAACAGTTCAAAGAGAGGTGTCTCAGCTTGAGCTCGGCCTAGTAGCATAGCTGGTTATATTGATCAGCAATGTTCATGTAATTGTACATGCTACTCATTTTGTTCAGTTGTATAATTTACTGTACCATGATTAGAACATTTATTATTGGATGTTTGGTTAAAATGTATTAACTTTGTCCTTTATTTTCACAAAGCTTCATTTTTTGAATGACTCATCTGCAATGGAACACGAATCACAGTTTGTGTTTTGTCACATGGGGTGCTGGTAACTGAACTTCTGACTTCTGACTCAGCAAGCACTACCATTCGTGATTCCAACAGCTCCAGCCCAAATGAGTCCCATCTTAGATATAAATGTGTTTTCTGTAGTTGAGCTGCTATGTTAACTGTCACTGTATCATCATGCTAATCATTTTTTCCCCCTCCATGTAGTACAAACAAAATCCTGAAATGTTCAAGCAGACAGCTCGACTTTGGGCACATGTGTATGCTGGAGCACCAGTTTCTAGTCCAGAATACACCAAAAAAATAGAAAACCTGTGTGCTATGGGCTTTGATAGGGTAAGTACGGGCGGAATTGATTTGACTTCCTCATTCTAAATTGCTCTGAGTCCTTAGGGCAGGTGGGCTAGCAATGAAAAAAAAATTCCAGTTTTGGTTAATAGAGGAAAGAATGCATGATTCTCAGTGCAAACCTTAGTGAGGTTTTTCAGAGCTTAGCAAGTGCTTCCTTGAGATGTGATTCTTCTTGTCACTTCTTTACAGAATGCAGTAATAGTGGCCTTGTCTTCAAAATCATGGGATGTAGAGACTGCAACAGAACTGCTTCTGAGTAACTGAGGCCTGGGAGCTGCCGCCAGCCAAGCTCGCCTCTTCTTGAGGAACACCAACATCTGTTATTTTTAGGATTCTGCATAAATTTCTTTTAAACTGGCATTCTTGCCTAATGATGTTATCTAGGCACCATTGGAGACTGCAAAAAAAAAAAATCCCTGCTCTGTAAATAAAGCTAATTAAACGTCTGTGTAAATTTAAAAAGGGGAAATACTTTAATTTTTTCTTAATAGTGTAAAAATTCTTTGAGCTAAGCTAAAACCATGGAGAAAACATGCTACGTTAGTGTTTAGCAGTGTAACAAGACTAGCGAGTTTGCTTCAGGGTTCTGTTGAATAACTAGGATTAACACTGAGTGTCGCCCGCTCACACTGTCCTGTTGCATCACAGCTACCTTAAGCGTTTGAACTTGGATCCTCTGTGCCTGTGAATTTACTTGCATGCTTGTACTTGACTTCTTAGGATGGGTAGCTGAAAAGACCACCCTTTTAAGTGTTAGGAGATTCTTGAATTTTGAGATTTGTTCAGATTTAAAGATGAACTAATCAGAGATTTTTGGTCCCTGTGGATAGGTAGGGACACTCTTATTTTTTCCCTGTTACCATCCAGAGCTAGGATTCTCATGGTGAATTTCTCTGTGTTTGGTGGGAAACGTGCTGAGTAAGGGTCCCTTGTTCCATTTTAGGTCATAGGTTTGCAATGTTTTGTCCGAGTTCTTCACTATGTAAGTAATAATGTGAAAAGGGGGCTGCCGATTCTGTTTCCCTTACAAAAGAAGTAAGCACTGATGCTGCAGTATTCCCAGATTTAATGAAAGGACCTTACTTAGTTTGTCAGTGAAATTGATGAAATCTTTGGAAACTTGAAGGACGCAGGCAGCTGTTTTCAGTAGTGTCCAGTTTAACTGGAACTTTATAATTTGCTTTTACCCTTATGCACCCTTATGCACTCCCATGTTGACACATAAAAGCTGTACATACTTCAGATGCACATAGGAATAGGGATGTGTTATAAATCTAGCTTTCTTTATGATGTTTCTAATAATGTGAGAATTGAAACTTTCCCTTCTCTTGTACATAGACTTCCTGTTCTTACTGACCGTCACATCTCATTCTAAGTTCCAAAGTTTGAAAACTCTTTGTTTTGAAAACTCAAACACATAATTTAACCATCTTAATAAGGTTCATGTGAATTTATGTAGGCAGTTATTACATAGGAGGTATAATTATGAATTTTGAGGACCAATGCATAAATAACAGAAATGTAATGGGATCAGACTGAATTAAAGTAAGGCTCTCTATTGAAAGTCATATTCTAAAAGGTTTGTTTTCTTGAAGTGTTCTTCATCTTATAGTCATAAAATGTTTGGAAAGTACTTTTTGAACCTATTAACTCAACATAACTTCATTTAACTTTTCAATAATCTTGATACTACAAGCAATAAAAGAACCATTAGATATCTAACATTAAAGATGTGAAGGTTCTTCCAGCGGTGTGTAAGGCTTTCACAGTGCACAGCGACTCTTAGTGTTGCTGTTCCTGCACACTAAACTCAAGCTGCTATGTTGTTCTCCATGTTTGCGGTCCTGTTGCAGCCACATCCTTTTATTGCTGTAGTTTATTTTCTAAAGATGCCAAAGGAAACAAGTTTTGCTTTATTTATTTTAAATAGCTAAAACCTTTGTACTTTTCTTTATATTCTGAGATTAGATGGGATTGTATGAAGTCATGGGCAGTTGAGCTCCATTATTGACTAGATTTTTTTTTTAGTGGAGGTGGCTTGGTAACACTAATATTTGGATATTTAAAATACTCTTGGGGTTTACCCTTTGCCTGTATTGTCAGGGAATATTGTCTGTTTAGACACAGATGAGAAATAACTCAGATGACTAGAGTCAAGCATTACCCAGTTTGCTCTTGGAGGCTTTTTTTTTTTTTTTTTTTTGGTCGAGTGTCTTCCCCCTACCCCATACAGGCCTCAGACTGTTCCTATATGTACTAAACACTGAAGTGTCCCCAGCACCCAGGGAATTTGAGAAGTATAGTGTGTGGTTTCACAGATTTCCATGATGAGGCCTCTGTATAACTTAATTTTTAGCTGGGGGCGGCGGCAAAGCAAATTCTCCTGTGATCCCAACTCTTGGGTACCAGAACCATGAGTTCAAGGCTGTATGGGTTGCATACGTAAAACTGCTTGAGATTTCTCATTTTCATTTAAGTCCTCTTTTTCAAAAACTTTCCCCCCCAACTGCTGGTAGGTTTAGTTAACCAAAAACAAAAAAGCTTCAATTTTTTTTTTAAATTCTGGTATGAAATACATTTAAAAATTCAGGCCTAGTAAAAAGTACCCTGATGGAAATTATTTTTCTAATTTTGCATTTGAGAATTTGACAGTTTAAGAAGTCCTAAAAAATTAACTATTTATGTCTGGGTGTGGTGGCACATGCTTTGTGCCCTAGACTTCTTGAGAGGCAGAGGCATGCAGATTTGTGACTTCAAGCCCATCCTGGTCTACATAGCAAGTTCCATGCCAGCCAAGGCTCCACAGACCTCGTGGGAGCATCCGCCTTCCCAGTAATTTTTGTGAGATCTCATTTAGCGCATGCAGAATTACGACAACTCATGGATCCTCTAATAAGCTTTTAAATAATCCAGTCGTTTTTTCTGAGCCTCTGCCTGACTGTTAGTAGGAAACTTGGTTGTCAGCATGTTGGAATTGATCACAGAAAGGTTTGACTCCAAATATAGAATGTAGACATGTAAGGCCCGCTGATACTAACCAGTGCCCCAAGTTTGTGTGGTTTACTTAAAACACGTCACCTTCAAAAATCTGTAAATGTTTGGAATCTTGAGCAGTTGCTTTTGAGAAGTATAACCGATAAAATGAGATTAAAGCACTTGTTTTTGAAATTTTTTATATTCCTGATTGGTGGCATTTAACACTATGCAAAAATCTATCTATCTGCAGGAAGGAACTGCCATCAGGCTTTGCTCGTTATGCACTACAAATGCAGCCCATTATTTTACTGGTTAGGCTGATGAAAATGTGAAAAGCAGAGCTTGACTGTAACTGTATCAGGATAGCAAGTAAGACGTTCTTGAAATCCAGTGTAGCAACACCAGAAATGAAGTTTGGTGGTATGAGAATTTAAGATGAATTCGGGCAGAGAATAGTAGAGTCTGGTATATTGTATACATAGATGGAACCAGTGTTTAGATAGGAAAAAGGAAAAGGAAGGTGTCTGTTTACAGATTATTTTATGGACTTTGACAAAATGATTCTGTATTAATCACTTTTTCTAGTTCCAAGGAGTTGACGTTTAAGAGCTGCATTTCCATCCTTCAGTCCCTGTTGAAGTAAATGCATACATACCCATCAGCCTGTTGGTGTCACCACTGTTGCGTAGCCTTTTCTCAAGCACGACTTCCAGTGTCTGCACATACTATGACACTGTTTGCACTGTTGAAATGCACAGTACAAATCCACTGCGTCAGGTAGGGGAATGATGGTGTCTCCCTTGCCTGTCATGTTCTGTTACTGCTTTCTTATACTGCTAGGACCTCAGAAGCCTGCAATCACCACTGCAAGGTGTCATGATTGTGTCACCTTTGGCTGGGTTGGTCCACCACGCTGCTGTCTGATCAGGGGTGGCACAGGTTTGTTTGGTTCAGAGGCAAGGGGATCCAGTCCTTGACCGTGCTGTTACTCTGATCATGTCTGCTTTCTGTCACCTACTTTTTACAGGCATCATAATAAAAGCTAGACAATTTCTTTGGGAGAAAGAGAATTATTTAATGTAATTTAAAGACTTTTCCAATAGAAAATGAAATATTGAAAATATCTATTTTTTAGCTTTCAGCAATTGATGGTGCTTTGTTGTGGTGTGTGCTGCTGGAAGTTACTGCCATTATAGGGATTTTCATTAACCTCACTGGAAAAGAACCTTGCTTGTTAGCTTCTTTAGATCTCTATAAACAGTTTGTTAGTGATGGTAAATTCTGTAGGAGGGTCTATTCTGAGCCATTAACTTCCTGTAAGGGGAAAATGGGTTGGTTACCAGAAACACCATTGAAGCAGGGTGGGCTATGGGTGGAGGGTTGGGTGTTTGTCTTGAGAATTAAAAACTACGAAACACTTTTGTATACAACTGAATTTTTAAAAAAAATAAACACATTTTTAAAGATGTTGAATTTTCCCCCTTATTGGGAATTCTTAAAAATATATGCATGCACATCACCCCGCCCCCCACATATGGTTTATATTATTCCCAACAAGCAATTAAGCCTTCTCATTAAACCAGAACCAGAAAGATGCTTTCAGTTTTATAGTAATGATGCATGTGCTAATAGATTTGCAAATTGTTTTAGGTCCGTTGAATTGCAAAGGATGTAGGTTTCTGCTCAGACTTACTTGTAATTGGGGCATTGGCTGGCTGAGCTCTGGCCCAGAGTTTCAAGTTCTCCACAGTTGGTGGTTGAGGCAGCACTGTTCAGCTTTCATATAAGCACACAAGTCCTGGAAAGGCTGCAAGGTGCCATGAAGACTCTAGATGGTTGTGGCATGTGCTGAATTTTAAACTGAGCCTGGTGGTGATCTCAGCATCCAGGAGGCAAGCAGCTAGGGAGACGTGTCTGTCTGAGGCCAACCTGTTCTGTTTGTTCAGTTCCAGGCTCACGAGAACTACATACATAGTTAGACCCTATCATAAAAAGCCAAGCTTTTCTGATCTTGTTCTTTATCATGGGTATGTTTAGCATTTTTGCCTCATTTGTAAAAACCCGATGAAATAAATGGTAGCATTATCCAGTATGGTGGCACACTGTTCCAATCCCAGCACTTGGGAATTGAGGTGCTACGTGACACCATGCCTCATAAAACTAAAATGGGTAGGTGAAATAGAGCACTTCCAGTCAGGATCGTGTTCAGTGTGAGTGCATGTGGTACCCTGTGCAGATCAGAGGCCACTGAGGAGCTTGAGAAGGGCTTAGTGCTACCTGGTTTTGTCCACAGTGCTGAGATGACAGGTATGTGACTATGGCTGGATTGGATTTTTTTTTCTTTTTTAATTTCGTGCTGGTACTCAAGCTCAGTTCCTCTTATGAACTGAGCAGTCAACCTTAACCCTCCTAACTGCTCCCAGTGCCCCATAGCTTTGCTGAAAACTTGCTCAGCGAGAAACAGATGACGAGGTCAGCTGGAGCAAGGGATAGACAGGGTAGGGAATGAGACGTGGAAAGGGAAGGCCAGTCACAGAAGAGTAGTGGGACACACGAGGAGCAGGAGGTGGGGACCATAGGGCCTGGGGAAGCACAGAAAACTTGCCAGCTGTTTTTAATTTCTTAAAGTTGAGATTCTGCCTGGCAGTGGTAGCATAGGCCTTTAGTCCCAGAACTCAGAGGAAGGCAGATCTGAGTTTGAAGTCAACTTGGTCTACAGAACTAGTCCCAGGACAGGCTCCAAAGCTACACAGAGAACTCCTTTCTCAAACATTCAAATACTGAGGTTCCCACCCGTGTCTTCAGCCCAGTGCTGATGTCTGGAAGCAGGCTGGCCCAAGAGCTCACAGGTAGCATGTGTGAGGCATGGGCTCCATTCCCAGCACTGTGCACCCCAAACCCTGCCCAAACCAAAGCCTTCACTGACCACCTCTTTTTTTCTTTTTTGGTTTTTTGAGACAGGGTTTCTCTGTAGCTTTGTAGCCTGTCCTGGAACTCGCCTCAGCCTCCAGAGTGCTGGGATTAAAGGCGTGCACTATCAGTGCCTGGCCACTGATCTCCTCTTACTACTCTTCAGATGTCTAGTTCCTGCTGGTCCCCGAGTTTCTTTACTACCCTCTTCAATTGTTTTTCAAATGTGCTTGTATTAGTCAACAACCACATCTGAGTAACTCAGCCCAGCACTCAGGAGGCTGGGTGGGGATCACCACAGTTCTAGGCTATCTAGGAAAGTATTTCTGTTTGGAAAGTAAAACAAAATAAAAACCCAGAAGACCACCAGAAAACCAAACCCCAAACCCTTTCTGGTTCACTATTATCCTTTGTCACAATTGAGTCTGGCCCCAGCATCTTCACGTTAGAATTGGTATGGAAATCCATAGCCCTTAAAGTTAGAAAAAGAACCTAAAACAAAATAAAGCAGCATCAATAGATGTGGGGGCTTGGATATCTATGGCTATGGCCTGCCAACAGCATGCTGACACCTGTCCTCAGTGTAGAAATAATGGTTCCCACTGGGCATTTGAAGAGACTAATGCCATCCAGCAGTGTAGGGCACTGATGGAGCTCTATCTAGTATGGGTTTTACAGGACACCACACCTTGCACCTGGCCTATGGGTGTGCTGTTCCTTAGCTTTTTTCCATTTGTGATGCCCCTGACAGCAACATACTGTTTACAGTTTAAACAATGAAGACGTGCTCAATTAAACACTCCTAGCATTTGACAAGTTGGCCTTATCGTGAGTTTACAATGTACAGTTGCTAGTATTCGTGAGGTTTTGTTTTGTGTTTTTCCTGTTAACAGAGGTTTCATGTTATACCCTAGACTGGCTTGAAACTTACTATAAAGACTAGGCTGGCTTCTAACTTGGTCATCCTTTTGACTTTTTAAGTGCCTGGAGTTTATGGGACCATGCCTCAAGCTATTCCTATTCCAAAGCATACAGTTCTATGCGGTTGGATGCCTTAAACAGTTTGATGGCTAGGAACAGACCATTGAGTAGGACTGTCTTATGTTACAACTGGCTAGATATGTAGACTGATTTTCCTATTATAAACTGCAGCATGGATTTAATATTTAAACTCCAGGTGTGGCGGTGCATACTATTAATCCCAGCAACCCTGAGGGAGAGGCAGGCAAGTAAGTTCAGTGCCAACTTGGTCTACATAATGAGGTTCAGAATAGCCAGGGCTCCATAGAGACCCTGTCTCAAAACAAAATAGACAAAAGTGACAGGTTCTCTGCAGTGACACCACCAGAGATTGAATAGATTGGACGACAGTGTAACTGTTTGCAAAGGACAAGTGAACCTAGGAGCTGGGTGCTGGGATGAGAGCTGGTGTAAGTCAGGCTTGCTGCTGTTCAGCCTGGCAGGTAACTAGATGACGTAGGTCTTACCATGGCAGTAACTCCTCTCGAGATAGACACAGTCCTCAGAGATCAAGGGAACAGCATGAAAATGAGAACCAGGTGGTAGCTCTCTGCTACATGTCTATTTTGTCTATGGGGTCCAGAGATTAACTTTGAATGTGCATTTTTAGGAAGTTAATCCCTTTGTTTGCAGAGACTGGGTCTCTTATGGGGACCTGGGGCTTGCAGGCTGGGTGAGGCTAGGTGGCCACCAGGCCCCAGAAACCCATTTGTCTCTGCCTCCCAAACACTGGAATTATAAACGTGCTATCACATCCACCCTTTTATATGCTGCTGGGTATTGAATTCACACTTGAGGCAAATACTTTACCATCTCCTTAGTTCATAGTCATATTTTCTACAGAGTTCACATATATGAATCACGAGAGGGCTGGGACCCAGTGGTACAGCACAGGCATGGTTTACAAGGCCCTGGGTGTGACTGCAGCATCATAAGGCAGACAGACACTACTAGTGATGCGCTGGTAAGCTCTTGGCAAGCATCTGTAAAGCCCTTAACTCAGGCATCAGCTCCAAGAAAAGAAAAAGCAGGAATAGCTATGCAAACAAAAATGTCCATCAGACTTTTGAAAATAGCATGGAATATCCTAGTAGTGGTTGTGCATGCCTTTAATCCCAGCATTTAGGAGGCAGAGGTAGATCTCTGGGAGTTCAAGGCGAGATTGGTCTACAAAGTGAGTTCAGTACAGCCAGAGCTGTGCTTCAAAGAAATTGTCCCAAAAAACCAAAATAACAACAAAATATGGTGCTTGTCAATGAATAAACAACTATGTTTCCAACATGGCCCTTAAAGAAGAAATGTGGACTTGGCTTTGTGTATTGACAACCGTGTGAAGGCTAGTGCAGAGAGAGTATATCTAACGTATGAAGCCCAAGGTCAAAATTGTGTTATATAGCCGGGCGTTGGTGGCGCACACCTTTAATCCCAGCATTTGGGAGGCAGAGGCAGGCGGATCTCTGTGAGTTCGAGGCCAGCCTGGTCTACAAGAGCTAGTTCCAGGACAGCCTCCAAAGCCACAGAGAAACCCTGTCTCGAAAAACAAACAACAACAAAAACAAAACAAAAAAAATTGTGTTATATGTGTATGTGTGCTTTTAAGATTTACTGAGAAATAATCCACCTACTACTATACAGTCCACTCATAGTAATTCAGCACATAAATTAAAATGCATTTAATTAGACCTCAATAAAGTTAGAGAAAAAACTGAAGTGTATAATTCAGTGATCTAATACACGATTTTGTACATCTGCCACAATTTTAGAAAGATGTCATTACTTTTAGCAGAAAACGTATGGCTCAAGAAATGCTGTCATGACAGGGTCTCTTGAAGCCCAGTATAGCTTAGAAGTGGTCAGGCTTCCAGTGCAGGCCTATAACCCCAGCTTTAGGGTTGGAGGGGTAGAAGGATCCTTGCAGTTAAAGGTCATTCTTGACTATACAGCTACATTCAGTATCAGTGAACCAGTTCCTCTACTCACACTGCTGTCCATTTCCTTGTAGACTCAGCAGTCACGTTATTTTTTAAGACATCAAATGCATACACAAAATGGCTTTTAACCACATTGAAAATAAACTCCATGTACCCTATCATGATAGTGTATATGACTTGAGTATCACATCAGGGCTCTGCAGCCCTGGCTGACCTAGAATTCCCTTTGTAGACCACACTGGCCTCCTGGAATTAAAGGTGTACACCACTATGCCCATCCAAAGCCACAAATTCTGACCTTGTACTAGGTTGCCCCATCTAGGTACAGACAAACTCCAGTTAGTTCTCTTTCATGCTCCTTCAGAAACAATGCAGTGCTGTTTATAGACATTTCTTTTGGCATATGAGTTTTACTATAGATAATGATAGGATCAACTAAGTACCAAGTGCAGAAAGGCAGCTGTTTAGCAACAAGTATTGATAAGGGAACACGATCTGAAAATATCCCCACCTGAAGGCCTGATCATCACCTTGGCCCAAAAAGCTTAGACATGAGTCATTGTATGCTGGTCTGTGCTAGAATTTTAGGCAAGACAGCCAGGCGT